ATATGCGGGTGGTGCAATGGATAATTGCTCGGAATTGTTAAACTGAGAGCCGAGTTCCAGTTAAAGTTGGGTTCGTTTCGCGCAAATACCTCTGGGAAAGGTATGAATTCACCTCTTCTCCACCACCTATGGGTTAATTAGTAAAAAATTGTCTCACTAATCATTAATATAGCCAAAAATAAAATAAATAAAATTATGTACAAAATGTTTAGATTTTGGCATGAAATAACCCATAGAGGTGTTGATCTGCCGCTAAACAGAAACAACAAACCAATCAACCGAATAATCATAATTCGGCCGTTTTCAAGTTCCCGCGATGCATGACAAAAGTTTGATTTTAGGTCTTTTTCATTTGTTAAAGTCATAAAATGACGGAAGTAAATCGGGCCGGACTGTTAATCTGGGCGAACCGCCTTTTTGTCTACGATTGGCAAATGTCAGTGTGTACTCGGAACGTGAATCATATTTGACAGGAGGCACTGGGAAAATGCAACCACTTTGCATACGTCGCCATTGCACTCAAACTTAATGGCCGTTCAACAGGCGCACGTTGTCTTTAAGAAGACCCAGTTATTAAACCCGAGAACAAAGAATCGGGAGGCAAAGAAGAAAGTGAGAGGGAGCGAGGGGGGGTGAGGTCAAATTGAGAAAGGAGAGAAGCGCGTCCATGGAAGTAGGGTTCAAATTTTAATGACCAAAAGAATAAAGAAGTTTAGAAAGAAGGAACGCTTAGAAGAAGGAAAGAAAGAAACGAAGGAAAAAAGCCGTGTATAATAATAATAATAATAAGAAGAAGAAGAAGAAGAAGAAGAAGAAGAAGAAAAAAAGCAAAAGAACAACAACAATAGCGGCAGAAGAGATAACAAGATAACGTGTACAACAGAACAACGAGAAAACAAGAAAAAGAAGAAGAAAAGAAGAAGAAGAAGAAGAAAAGGAAGAAGAAAAGGAAGAAGCTAACAAAAAGAAATGAATAATTAAAAGGAAAACGTTAAATCAAAAAAGAACATAAAGAAGAACGAAGAAAATAGACTTGAGTAATAATAATAATAATAATAATAATAAGAAGAAGAAGAAGGCGTTGGAGTTGGGGGGTCGAAAACAAAAAATCAGAGAAGAAGAAGAAGAAGAAGAAGAAGGCGGAAGAGTCGAGGGGCAAGAAGAAGGAGGAGAAGGAGGAGATGGAGTAGGTGGAGAAGCGTGGGTCTGAGAAGAAGAAGAAGAAGAAGGCGGAGGATTCAAATTCGGAGACCGAGAAGAAGAAGTAGAAGAAGAAGAAGAAGAAGAAGAAGGCGGAAGAGTCGAGGGGCAAGAAGAAGGAGGAGAAGGAGGAGATGGAGTAGGTGGAGAAGCGTGGGTCTGAGAAGAAGAAGAAGAAGAAGAAGAAGGCGTTGGAGTTGGGGGGTCGAAAACAAAAAATCAGAGAAGAAGAAGAAGAAGGCGGAAGAGTCGAGGGGCAAAAAGGAGGAGGAGGAGGAGATGGAGTAGGTGGAGGAGCGTAGGTCTGAGAAGAAGAAGAAGAAGAAGAAGAAGAAGGCGGAGGATTCAAATTCGGAGACCGAGAAAAAGAAAAAGAAGAAGAAGAAGAAGAAGAAGAAGAAGAAAAAGAAGAATAAGAAGAAAAAGAAGAAGTCGAGGATGGAGTAATAAAAAGATTACACAAATAGGTGAGAGAAATAAAAGAAACACGAATGAAGTGGAAGAGTAGAAAGGAACTACTTTCATTCCTTTCGAATTTCATTGATGAGAGATGTATGTTCCATTCTTCCCGCCAACTGATACTTTCTGAAACCGACTACCAACAGAATGCTTCCCCGATCACTAAAAAAGTCACCTGTTCAAATCTAGAATTGACCTTTATCTTATACGCATATCTCCATAAACTGTGAAGCTTACCCTGTAAAGCTCTAACTCGAGTAGCTCCCGAGCCTTTTAATGGTGAACAGCATTGAAAAAAAAATTATTCAGCATTCCCACATTTTTAGCGTTTCTCCTCAGTACACAATTGTAACCGTCGTACTCGGTTTTATATCTCCCCCTTTTACACATGTATAATTACATCAACAAAAAACATTACTTTGGTATGATGAAGTCTTTTTAGAGGATGAAACACGTTTTTTCAAACTTGTCATTCATAGTTATATCCTTTATCATATTAATCCAAATATATATATATATATATATATATATATATATATATATATATATATAAACAAATATATAAAGAAATATAGTCTTAAGGTGTGTTATATTTATGGAATAAAGTGCTCAATATCAGAGATAGAGCGTGTGTAAATATAAAAGTGAACATAGAAGTCAACACTTAGATATAGCATGAAACAGACTGTCGCCTCTAAGTGTTGACTTCTATGTTCACTTTTATATATATATATGTATATATATATGAAAATCATCTTGAATAAGTTGGAAAATGTTCCTGAATAATATATATATATATATATTTATATATATTATTGTTGAAACTTGGATAAACATGGAATAATAATAATACAACACAAAATGTACGTAAACAAAATGTATTGAAACAAGGAAAAGGTACACAATATTTACAGTTAGTTTTGGTATATTCTTGGGAAGACTGTTCCTGCATAATGGGTTGACTAAATCGCAGTCGCGCAGAGTCTCTCGATTCGATCTCTTCTTACTACTATTTTTCCGTCTTCCGGTACCAACCCATATCTATATCGGTCGGTACTCCACTTATGTAAATTAGGTGTATCGTACCACAACAATTATATATAAAGAAATAATCATACATAGAATCAATCAGCAATATTAATGCGATTAATGGCGAAATCACTTCGCTAGTAGGACAATGTATGCATTAAAATACTGTAAATCCATTGAATGATGTGATCATCATTTATAAAACTGTTGTCAGATGTTTTTAGTGTACATTTTTTTTAAGTTAAGCAAGTACTTTCGAAGATCCATGTCTTCATCGTCAGGCTGTAATTTTTTTTCCTTTAAAGTTAAAACTTGAAGACGAGATAATTGTTCGTAGACCGAAATCTTCGAAAGTACTTGCTTAACTTAAAAAAACATACACTAGAAACATCTGACAACTGTTTTATAAAATAATATTGATTCTATGTATATTTATTTCGTTATATATAAAATATATGCTGCATAATTTAATGTTTATAAAAAACAATTGATCCGCAGTACGAAATTCCTGAGAAAAAAAAAAAGATATATCACTATATTAATTAAGTTCATGCCTTGTTAACTGAAAAACACCTGTAAAAAAAGAATTCGTGGATTTACCATATTACAAAATTCATATAAAACTTCTCACTTGAAATTTTGAACTTTAACGTTGCGACTCGCATGTTCCGAGATTGTACAACCGTCAATAAATAGCACATTGATAAAAAAAATCTTTCAGTCTACAAACAATTGTTTCGACTTTAAGTTTTAACTTTAAAGGAAAAAAATTACAGCCTGACGGAGATAACATGGATCTTCGAAAGTACTTGCTTAACTTTAAAAAAAAATACACTAGAAACATCGGAGATCTAGGCCTAGTGAGAAAAGGAATGAGAAATTTTACTAACAGTGTCCCAGGTAACAGAACTCCGGAACCAACTATTGCATCACGAATTATGAACAAAAAAAGCCAAGGATGAAGCTCTTAAACAGATGAAACAAACCTCTACATGACCAATATCCAAAATGTTCTAATAAAGCGGATGTTGATAATGTTAACACCAATCGATAGTTACGAGCATCCGGATTAAAAGCTGAAACGAAAGGCTTTATTCTTGCAGCGCAAGGGCATACTCTAGAAACGTCTCAGTAAATATCCTACATAATAGTGTGGATCCAAAATGTTCTGTGACAAATATCAGGAAACACTGATTACAGCACCGGTTACAGAAATAGAATTCTATGGAATTACACCATCTTTACAGGCCGGAAGATTGAATCAAATAGGCCGGGTATTATTGTCAAAATTCGCGAAAGAAAGATTTGACTACTAATTGATAGGGCTTATCCAGCGGACTGTGACATAGCAACCAGGGAATTTAAAAAACTATTGAAGTATAAATACCTGGAAATCGAAATAGAATAACATGTGGAAATTGAAAACAAGAATAGTACCAGTTATAGTAGGTGCGCTTGAAATGATTAAAAAAGGAACACAACAACGCATTGAAAAAATCCTTGGAAATCCCAGCTGAAGTGAAATACAAAAGAATGTACTGATAACCACAACTCGTACACTAAGAACTTTGTCCATGTAACGCTAATGAATTTATACGAGTTAGAAAAACAAATCATGAAATGTAACCATAACAACACACCAATACCTACCTTGAGTTTTGCATTAGACTTGGTAAATAGTGTTACCACATCAGAAATCGAATACTAATAATAATAATAATGAAAGGTTCCGATAGACTCATTGAAGGAATTCCTGGTAACCCAAGCTTTAAAGAAATATAAAAAAATTGTACAGCTTACACCTTACAAAAGTATTTATATATGTAAAAAGAATATGGTCTTTTTTTGGGAGGGGGGTTTCTTTTACAAAAATAATCAGTGGAAAATGTCTTGAAGCCATTTTTGACCTTAGATTTCTGGTTGGAACCCTAAAGTAAATGTACAAACAACAGACAAAAAAGAAAATAATAATAATAATAATAATAGAGATCGCACACAAAAAAGTGCCTCCTTATTGATATTGCAGTCCCTGCAGACTGCAATGTATCTTTGAAGATATTCAAAAAGCTGTCAAAATACAAGGACCTTGAAATCGAAATCTCAAAAATGTGGCACATGGGAACATCAACAATCCCTGTTGTAGTTGGATCCCTCGAATTGGTTGGAAAAGATTCCAGTAAAGTAATCGAATGGATTCCTGGAAGCTCACGCCTGAAAGAAATACCAAAAAAATGTTATCACAAGTACAGCCCACGCCTTACGAAGGGCTTTGTAAAAAAAAAATTTCCAGCGCAAAATGTCATGATGCAATT